TTCTCTCTCGACGTACAAAAACCACACTCTATAAGTCACTCATCATTCCCGAGCGGGTTTATGGCGCAGAAGCATGGACAATGACAACATCCGATGAGACGGCTCTTGGGGTGTTTGAGAGAAAGATTTTGCGGAAGATTTACGGTCCTTTACGCGTTGGCGACGGCGAGTACCGCAGACGATGGAACGATGAGCTGTATGAGCTTTACAACGATATGGACATAGTGCAGCGAATTAAAATACAGCGGCTCCGCTGGCTTGGTCATGTCGTTCGAATGGACACCGACGCTCCAGCTCTGAAANGAGCTGTATGAGGTTTACAACGATATGGACATAGTGCAGCGAATTAAAATACAGCGGCACCGTTGGCTCGGACATGCCATTCGAATGGGAACCGACGTTCCAGGTCTGAAAGTATTCAACTCGCAATCCGCTGGTCGTACCAGAAAAAGAGGTGGCCACCACTGCAATGGACAGACCAAGTGGAGAAGGATTTGGCTTCACGTGGCATTTCCTATTGGCGTCAGTTGCCACAGAGATAAACGACTGACGTTCTTTGTCGAGCTCGGCCAAATGGCTTAGGCGGTTCCAGCGTCAAATAAGAAGGAGAAAATGATATCTGGGGACCTTATTCTTGGATACGCCTGGAGGAACTAGGAAAACATTCCTTATCAGATTGATTCGGGGGACGGTTCGTTCAAAAAATTACATAAGCTTAGCTAGGGCTCCGCCTGGAATTTCTGCGACATTGTTATTAGGTGAAATAATTGCTAATTCAGCAATCATACGTGCAATATTTCCAGAAGATCCGGTATGGAAAAAGTATTACGAAAATTTAAACTCATTGTTTGGGATGAGTGTACAATTTCACACAAAAAATTGCTTGAGGTTTTTGATCGATTGTCGCGAGATTTGCATGGAATGCGTTGAACCATTCGGGAATGCATTGATGTTGCTCTCAGGAGATTTAACGCAAACATTGCCTGTAATTTCTCGATTAACACTAGCGGGCGAGATAAATGCTTGCCTGAAATAGTCTACATTGTGGCAAAGGTGAAGAATTCCCATGATTCCGACCGATACAAAATTTCAATTTAAAAGATTGCAATTCCCAATTCGATTGGCATTCGGAATCGCAATCAATAATGCCCAAGGTCAACCTTTGGAAAAGTGTTGCATGTTCCCGTGTCGGCAAACCAGATATCCTTGATATCTATGCAGAGAATGGCAAAACGACAAATATTGTGTGCACACAAGTACTTATGTATTACAAAATCAAACTTATATGCGACGTATGCTTTGTTTCGTTAATCATTTATCATCTATGAACAGGAATATGCCACAGCAAAGCGTGGCAGGGTACAGCTAGTAGTAAATAAGAAATTATAGAATTAAATAAGTTTAAATTTGTATAAATAAGGAATGGCATAATTAATAAAGAGGAATATTAGATAAGGGCTCGACTGCGCCACAATACATTCTTGTCGTTTATTACACCATTCGCAACTTCTGTTGACTAGCTCTTGCCAGAAGTGATTTTCATTCACAGCGAAATATCATACGAGTAGGAAAATCACCAATCACTGATATTGTGGCCTAGCAGTAGCAGTCACTATAAGCGATTTTAAAGTCACAGTGATAAAATCACCGGTAGTGAAATATCGCTCATCACTATCTGGGTCGACTTTTACATCTTTCTATACCAAAATGACCATCATGAACATATTCAAGATTTTTTTGTAGCAACTGTTTGGGAACAAAAATTTATCCGTTCTTATAAACCAAGCCATTTATTTCGTGAAAATCATGTCGGAAATTCCAAAATTGCCTAACATCCTTAGGTACCTGCTTGATATGCTCGGGCCATCCCTCTTTAATAAATTTTTTGATAGTTTTTATTTGAGGGTCATGATTGGATTTGGATTTAATGAGGTTTAGAAGTGAATCGGATATTGCTGAACTACACTCAAACATACCCACGTGTATTTGAATGTGTTTATCAATTATGTCTTCTTCTTCACGATTTAAGGGTGCCCTCGACAAAGCGTCGGCAACTGCTAACTCTTTGCCAGGCCTATAACCAACATTTAAATTATAAGTCTGAAGAGATAGAAGCATTATCTGCAAACGCGGGGACTAACCTGAGCGACTCTTTAAACACCGGAATATACCAATTTGTGAAATTGTGAAACTGCAAATACAATAGCATATAAGTAGTTCTTTCTCTATTTGTGTGTAGTTTTGATGAGTTTCAGGAAGGGGTTTTTGACCACAACGCAATTGGTTTATTTTCCTGAATCAAAACAGGGGGTCAATTCTCGTTCTGTGATAAGATGAAGTGAAAAAAAAGTTTTCATTTTCGTTTTCACAACTACTTTTCACTCTGCCTTTTCACAGACACTTATTTTGCGATTCTGGTTTGTGCTGTGAAAATCGTGTTCATTACCACTATAGTCGTGAAACTTTTGCAACTGTGCTATTGAATTTTCGAAGTAAATGTCAAAGTTGAGGAAAACGTAAACAAAACATGTCGGGAATAATTATTTTATTAGAATTATCGCAAAGAATTCGAGACGAGCAAAGGTAATAAAGGTGTAAATTTTTTAAATATTTCAGAGATAATTTGAGAGTGCTCCGGCGCAGACTTCGCGACGACCAAAATCCCTTTGAGATTACAACAGACGAGCATTTCATTGATTTATATCGGTTCCCTAAAGCTTTGTGCCTGGAATTAATTAATGAATTAATGCCATTTATGCCGAACTCGCAACGGAGACATGCTGTTCCGAGTCATGTAATTATTTTAAGCGCCCTGCGTTTTTTTGCCACTGGTAGCTTTCAAAGAAGTGTGGGGCAAGACAGTTTATCTGCTTTATCCCAAACATCAGTTAGCAGATGTGTGCAAGTGGTGGCAACTGCACTTAATAACATAGCCCACAGACATATAAAGTTCCCAAAACGCGAAGACTTCCCGGCGCTCAAAATAAAATTCATGGAAAAATACCAATTTCCTGGAATAATCGGACTCATAGACGGAACGCACATCAAAATATCAGCCCCGAAGAAAGAAATTGAGCATGTTTACTATTGCCGAAAGGGTGGGCACTCCAAGAACGTTATGATAATATGTGATGCTGATTATATCGTTTTGTCTGCTAGCGCTCGGTTCGGAGGTACTGCTCATGACTCATATGTATGGCGTCGCTCTCGAGCTTGCAGAGCTCTGGAGGAGCTTTATGAGGCGGGTGAGCGCGATTTTTGGCTTCTGGGTGATAGTGGCTACCCACTACAGGTACAATTTATATTATTTTTCTTTGTTAAAGATCTAATGCTAATATAAATTTTAAATTAGCCTTGGCTGATGACACCAATTAGTGCGACATCATGTACCGCAGAAGAGCGCTACAATATAGCACACAAGTCAACTCGAGCTCTTGTAGAAAGATGCATTGGCTTACTAAAAAGCAGATTTCGCTGTCTGTCGAAGGAATGAGCCCTTTTCTACAGTCCACCAAAAGCAGGCCTCATAATCAACGCTTGCCTGGTTTTACACAACTACTTGATTCGGGCTAGAGTGCCGTTCGATGAAATTTATTTGGAAGACTCTGATGAACCTGAAGAATGTGGTGGCCCTTCTTCAGCTATTTCAACACATAATATATTATCCATTGCGAAAAGACAACGATTGCAAATTGTTCAAAATGCTTTTACTAATAACATTCAAAATTAGATTGAAAATAATTCAACTTTTTATTTTACATTCGTATTTTTACTTATTTACATATATTAATAAATATGCATATGTATATCATATTTCAAATGTTAAATTCTTTTTAAAGGCAGTTTTTATCACAAAAAGTTTTGTTCATAAATTCATTGCAATGAGGACCTCATATTTTCTTAAAGACTAAAAAATAACAAAAAAAATCGAATTCTTTCTTATTCGATATCTCATATTAGGCTCCAGAAAAAATATAAAAATACACACATAGATTGCTATATTTCCAAGATAAGTATTTTTAAATGCAGTTTTTATCACAAGTAAGTTTTGTACATAAATTCATTAAACAGAGAAATTCATATATTTTTAAAAGCTAAAAAAAAATCATATTTTCATAGACTCTAGAAAAATTAAAAATAGAATCGACTCCATATTTTCCTAAACTCTAAAAAAGTTTAAAAGTAAAAACGACTTCATGTTTTCTTAAATTCTAAATATTAAAAGTAAAACCGACTTCATATTTTCTTAAACTCTAAAAATACTAAGAATAAAAAGGACTTCAAGTTTTCTTAGGCATTAGGAAAAGGTATAATAAAAATTGTCTAATACTTATGGACAAGGCTGTTTCTAAAATTAAAACATTCTCACGGCCGCCTCAAAATTTCAATTAAATGTTGTAGTTTTTCTACAATACATTCTTTCATTTGCGTGCCCACTATTATTGCCTCTGTCTGCTCCTTCACCGCTTGGATCTGTTCGCGTTTTAAATTATTGGCGATCTCCATTTCCCTTACCTTGATTTCCTCTAGCCTAAACAATTTTTCTAACTGAGGGTTTTCTGCTTGCGCCTTTCTTTTTCGCCCTCTCGAACGGGCTGCTGCTGTGCTGCCTCTTATTGCTGCAGCAGTTGAGGTGCTCGCCGCCATCATTGGACACGTAGTTGCATCTTCCAATGTGGTTGCGGCTGCAGTACCATCTAAGTCGCATTCTGCCACAACAACTTCGAATGTCTCCTCCACAATGTCAGCGAGATTGTGAGAAGCTTCTGCCATGTCGAGTGCTTCAAAGCCCACTTCGCCCGTTTCATCACCATCGACTGCCTGCACAGTTGTAATCTTAATTATGCGCTCTTCCAGCGGTGACAGTGCTTTGGCCCGGCTCAAACCGTTTATACCACTTCTCTGCTCTGCCTGCCTTATCGCACTATATTTTGTGCGAGTATGAAGTCTGTTTGTAGGTATTAAAACAAAAGATTAAAAAAATAATCACATCATTGTCGAAGACATGGATGATGATGAATAATTAGCTAACCTTTATCTTATAAATATATTTGAAATGTAATAGAATTACTTATAATGAATTTACATGAAGAATTAGTCACCCTTTACTTTATATACATATTTGAAATGTAATAGAATTACTTAATTCGAAACTGAACATACTCACTATCCTTATATATATATATATGTTTAAAATTGTACTAGAATTCCTTTTGAACGTACTGAATTGTCAAATATGTACTTTTTCCGAATGTGAGCTCTCGGCACCCGTACACCGGTATGGGGGCACTCGCAATCGAATCGTCGACTAGACCAGTTTATTAAATTCAATTTAACCTACAGTCCACTATATTTTCCCATTTTTGAATAAACTCGGAATAATTTGTATTACCCTAAAATTTGCTTTACTTATTCAATTAAATATACTCAAACACACCCTTTTACGTTGCTAAAGAGCAACATATGGTCCTTCGACCAATACTTCTTCCATTTTGCACCATCCTTTTGAGTTCCGCCAAGAGCATTGAGGCTCACCGCTAGTTCTTTCCACTTTTCTTCGCGAAATTTGGCACCATCTGCCGTCACAAATCTATAATTATAAATAATTGGTATTCGTTTGTTTATGTTAAAAAGGCTTCATACTTATCGTTTGCAATGTCTACATTGTCTTCTAGATAATTTATTAAAAACTCTTTTTGGTTTTCGCTGGCGCGCTTTCCTCTTGGTATCTTCTCCATCTTGTTTTCACGTATAAATAGGCTGTGTAAAATTTTTTTACATATGATAAGTTTTTGACAGTTGGTTGCACTGTTTCACAGAACGAGAATCGTCAGGGTTGTGAAAAAGTGAAAAGTTTCGTTTCGTTCCACTTTTTTTTTTCATGTGAAAACACTTTGACGTTTCTTTTCATTTTTTCACTGAAAGCGAATCGGAAGTGCAATGAAAACGCGAAAAAAGTTTTCATTTCACCGTTTCACAGAACGAGAATTGACCCCCAGCTCCTACGGCAAATTGTGACGAATCACACGATATTATGATATCTTTTTTAGGATCAAAAATGCTAAACACGACGGACTTACGACTGACATTTTTAGGCCTTGAAACGCTTTCTCATAGGTGTCGTTTCATTCGAATAACACATTCTTTTTTACTGTTGTAATGGCATTGACTTCTCAGATAAATTTGGAATAAAAGTACGAAAATAATTTACTAAACCTTGAAATCGTTGGACGTCTTTCACGCTTCTAGGTGTTAGCATGTGAACAATTGTCTACAATTTTAGGGAGTCTGATTTTATACCTTTGGCACTAAAAATATGACAAAAAAACTTAACTTGTGAATGACGTACGTGACATTTTTCTCGTTTAGTTTTATGGTGGCTAACTTACACCTTTCTAAAACCATTTGAAATTTTTTGTTGTGATCCTCAATCGTTTTACCATACACTAGAATGTCTTCTATATATGTAATGGCGTCACAGTCGGAAAAAATTTCTAACATTTCCCTCTGCAAAATCTCATACATAACTCCATATGACATTCTTTTAAATCTGTAGCTGCCGAATTGCGTTTGAAACGTGCACAGATATGAGCTATGCTCGTCCAATTTTAGCATCCGAAAGCCATTACTTGCACCTAGGGTAGAGAAATATATACCATCTATTAATTTGGACTTTCACGTTTTAAAATTTATTCAGGTTTCTTGGATCAAGACACACGCGCGGGATTTGTTTGGTTATGATATGGTGACCTTCTCAATGACTTCTGCAGCCTCCATCTTGGACAACTCATTTTTCAAACTATCTTGTAAGTTACAGGGCAATTTTCTATGACTGGCGTATTATTTATTTATTTATTATTTATTTTCACTTAATTTTAAACTGATCGGTTTTCTATTTATATTTAATTTTACTTTATTTTGTTTTCATTTGCTTTATTTTATATCACTTTTTTTATATATATATGTTGATTGAATCCGAGTGCGAGCGGACGTGTTTTTACAGCGCTCCGCGATTTTTGTGCTCACTTCGCTAATAAGATTTTCTACGGAAAGTGGTTATTAAAAAATAAAAGTCAATATAATTCAAAATAGTGGCAATCAAATTATAATAAATCGCGCACAAAGTTGAAATAAATCGTGTTTTCGAAGTTAAACTAATAAAATTTCGCCATAAAAAGTGTACAAAAACTGGTACAAACTAGCGCGTACAACAACGCTACTCTTCATTGGATAGCCTTGAAAAAGTTTATTGACTGCTGTCATTCTGATACTGCAGTACCGACACAGCAAAAAGCAGTGCTACCGTATGGTGCAGTGCAAGCAGTGCAATGAGTACTTTTAGAACCCCACCACCAGGTGGCGGCGCAATAAGTGTGAACAACGAACAGTTGCTACAGAAAATAAACGAACTTGAACAATTATGTCAGTCTCTGAAATGTGAAATTTCCTTTCTTAGGAACGAAAACGGAAAACTTAAAAGTACCAATGAGGAAAGCCAGTGTTGCCAAAAATCAACTCCAATCAATGGAAAAGAAGTAATAACGTACGAAACAGATGAGGAAGAGCTCACCCGCGAAACAGAATGGATTCTCAAACAACGAAGGCCATCTAAAAAACGCAAAGCAGAGTCCTCACCTGAACTATCTGTTAAAAATAACGTAAACACTACCAAATTAGCAGCAGGCACTAATCCGAGCCCTAATAAAACCCCAAAAAAAGCGAATCGTCCTCCTCCAATTATTATCAATGGAGTCAAAGACTTTAAAAAGCTTCACTGTCAGCTTATTGCCACTATAAAAAACAAGTTTTTTGTCAAACTAGTTAGCAATGCTGGTTATAGAATAACCACCTTCGATTCAACAGACTATAGGTCTGTAACTAAACTACTTAATAACGAAAATATTCCTTGGTTTAGTTACGAGGATAAACAGTCTAGACCTATTAAGGTAATAGCTAAAAACCTTCATCACTCTTGTGACAAGGAATCGATATTAAGTGATCTCAAAGCGCAAGGTTTTAAGGCAACAAATGCAGTCAACAAACTAAAGTGGAAGACTAAGGAGCCGATGGACATCTTTTTGTTGATGTTTGATCCGTCAGAGGACATTAAAAAAATATACGAAATTAAAAGCATCTTACACACAATTGTCAAAATTGAACCCGTAAAATCGTCGAAATTAATTCCGCAATGTAAAAAATGTCAGTCATACGGACACACGAAAAACTTTTGCGGTAGGACACCCAGATGTGTAAAATGCGCTGGTAAGCATGATACAATTGACTGCCAAAAGCCAGATTCGGAGAAACCAAAATGTTGTAACTGTGGTGAACCACACCCAGCCAATTATCGTGGTTGCATTGTTGCCAAAGAGCTACAGAAGCTAAAATCAAAGAAAGCAGAGAAAACAACTAAAGACCCCATGCCCCCGAGGCGACAACCTCAGCCGCTCGGGGACAATAATAGCAAGAACGTCAAGAAAAACCCCAATACGTATGCGGAAGTCACAAAAGAAACCTCCGAAAACTTGGACTCGTCAAATAATATGGGCATTCTATCACTAATCTTGTCTAGATTAAACGAGCAGGAGAAGGTCTTTAAGTCAATTGATATCCGCCTTGCTGCTCTTGAACAGAATATGCAATTCTTCGATGATTAGCAAATCCTTAAAAATTTTACTATGGAACGCGAATGGTCTTGGGAAACACCAAGCTGAGTTGGAAGTTCTTCTTAGCAGTAAAAATGTCGATGTATGTTTAATTTCGGAAACGCACTTTACGAGACATTCGCACGTTTTGTTCGAAAACTACACCGTCTATCACACCATACACCCAGAAAATTGTGCAAGGGGTGGCAGTGCAGTTCTCATTAGTAGCAAAATACCTCACTACCTACACGATCAGCTAAGCTCAAACGAATTCCAAGCCACTTCCGTTTGCGTCGAAACTCTAAAGCAGCCACTAATACTGACGGCTTTATATAGCCCACCTAGACATCTGCTTAAACAAAACCACTACTTATCTCTCTTTGGAAGGTACGAAGGTCGTTACGTAATAGGCGGTGATTTCAATGCAAAGCACACACACTGGGGCTCGCGTCTCATTACAACGAAAGGCCGAGAGCTTTACAAAGCCATACAGACTGCAGGCTGCAAAACAATCTCAAGTGGAAAACCTACTTACTGGCCCTCGGATACGAATAAAGCTCCCGACCTCATCGATTTTTTCATACTTAAAAATATATCGTTAAACCACCTCTCCATTGCAGAGGAGTTTGACTTAAACTCAGACCATTCCCCCGTAATACTAGCTATACACGATGAGCCTATCCCGAGTACAAATAATCCCCGATTAGTTAACTCATTCACGGACTGGAAGTACTTTCAAAAGTCACTCGATTCTTTCCCTACAACTCCTGGCGCAATTACCACTGTTGATCAGCTTGACGATGAAATTTTACGATTCACCCAACGAATCCAACATGCCGCTTGGAGTAGTACTCCTACACAGAAGCTTATCCAGAACAGGAAAAAATATCCAGCCTCTATCATGGACATGGTATCTGAAAAGAGGAAGCTTCGTCGACGGTGGCAGCAAACTAGATTTCCTGAGATCAAGACGAGATTAAATAAAGTAACGAAGCAGCTACAGGCGGCAATTAAAGCTTTTAAAAACGATGCATTCAACCGCTACTTATTGGGACTAACTTCGGAAAAGACAACCGACTATTCTTTATGGAAAGCTGCTAAAAATCTCAACCGGCCTATAACCCACTGTGCTCCACTTAAGATCGATGAGAATACGTGGGCAAAGTCTAGCGCGCAGAAAGCAAACATCTTCGCCGAACACCTCAAAAACACGTTCACTCCTAACGAAGGATCAAATGAGGTTGATACAACAAGCACAACCTGCTCCGGAGGTAACTCCCGTATAATGCATGTTAGTCCTGAAGAGGTTGCAAGTCAGATTAGCAAGTTGAAGGTAAAGAAATCACCGGGCTTTGACCTTATTACAGCTGAAGTTTTAAAAAACCTACCCCAAGGCAGTATTGTTTATCTGACGCACTTATTTAATTGCTGTTTCGAGCTAGAGTATGTTCCCATCCATTGGAAGATGGCAGAGGTCATTATGATCCACAAGCCTGGCAAGCCACCTAATGAAGTTTCTTCCTACAGGCCAATATCGCTACTCCCTTTTCTATCAAAACTCTTTGAAAAACTGTTGTTGGCACGCCTATTGCCGATTATAGATGAAAGGTGTCTGATCCCGACTCACCAGTTTGGATTTCGCAAACACCACTCAACCATTGACCAAGCGCACAGAATCGTGAAAAACATTGAGTCTGCCATGGAAGAAAATAAAGTTTGCTCTGCTGTGTTTTTGGATGTTTCGCAGGCCTTTGACAAGGTCTGGCACGATGGACTGTTACAAAAGCTAAAGGCCCTTCTACCAAGGGCGTATTGCGAGATACTGGCCTCGTATCTAAGTGATAGGTACTTTCGCGTCAGGAATGAAAACTCATTCTCTGCCCTGCAAAAAATAAATGCTGGAGTGCCCCAAGGGAGTATTCTGGGTCCTGTTTTGTATCTTTTATACACACACGACTTGCCAAGTCAGGAGAAATTTGTGACTGCAACATTTGCTGATGACACGGCGATCTTGGCGATCGGAAAAACGGTAGAAGAATCTACAAATGCGCTACAATCTGCAGTAAATTCCGTAGTGACCTGGGCAAAGAAATGGCGCATTAAGTTAAATAACACAAAGTCGGTGCACATAGTTTTTACTCTAAAGAAGTTATCATACAAACCAATCTTCATAAATGATATTAGCGTTCCCTATGTCAACGAAGCAAAATATCTCGGCCTTACACTTGATGCTAAGCTGCGCTGGAAAGCGCAT